GTCTTAATTATATTCTCACTTTAACCACAAGCTTTTAGAGATCCAAATCTTTCATCTAACCACAATTTAGATGACAATTCAACCACAAAAATAGCATTCTGTACCTTTCTGCTGGAAACACAATGCTCAAACTACCTATGTCAGCCTGAACCCTCAGAAAAAGCCTTTTAGTCCACAACATAAATAGGATTTCAGAGAAAGAAGAAATAATCTGTTCTGCCACTTAATCGTCCTGAAGTTCTCCATGTGGCATGGATGCAGAAATGAGCAAACTCATTGCTAATGGCACATGGTCACGTTGCAGAATGGGGGGCGAGCATCCAGAAATCCTCAAGCCAACACAGCAGCAGTGCAGTGGTTCAGATTTGTGGAGGAGGATGACACAGGACCAACACACAGGCTCAATAATCCTGCTCTTTCTTACCTCTGCTCTTGAAAACCAGCAGGTGGTAGCTTGCAAGTTAAGTAATAGAACAGAAAATAAATAGTTTGGCAAAAAATTACAGCAGTGTTTACAGAGGAAGAAAGGAAGGGAATGAGCAAAATGTGCTGCCAGAAATATAGAAGTGCCCATATTTTAGCATGACACAGGCTTCAGTAGAGACAGAGGTATCAGACAGCTTGGAACAAAAAAACCAACCCACAAATGCTTTGTATCAGTCGATCAGAAGCCTCCTGAGACGTCCAGCTTAAGCAGAAGCTCCCCTCCCCTCTTTCCTTTTGTCTCCACAGGACAGTGCTTATCTCAGAAGTGAAATATCGAAATCATCTCAGGTGAGGAAACTGAAAGCAGGATAAAGGCATCTTTGCAGACACTCAAAGCAACAGCCTCAGCACTGGCTGTCTCAGCACCAAGTGAGTAATCAGGACAAACTGTCACAAAGGAGCTCAAACCTTCAGCATAGCGAATGCTCCCTCCAAAGCACACACTGGACCAAAGACAAAAGTGTGATATTTCCATGGAGTTAAGTAGACAGAGCATGTGCAAATTATATTGCTTTAGTTTTGAGAGCAGTATTTCAAAGCACTGTTTGAAGAAGGGCTTCAAGAACCCGGTGATGAAGACAGGGTGCTCTTGAGACAAAGGGCTACTACATTTTGTCTCAATATAAAGCTCTCAAAGGAAAAAAGTCAGTAAGAATTCATTTGCAAAGCTCACCAGGAATTCAGATCGAATTCTAACAGTGTTCACACACACCCTGCCCTTGTGTCTGCAAAAATACAGCTTTTCTGCAAAGTAAGATGGTCAGAAGTGTACAGATACCTGGGGGTAGGGGTGATTATAGAGAAGAGAACATTCTCCCGTTAGAGGATGTAACTCCTCTTGCTGCTCAAACTTTGAAGAGCTCTGGGATCTTTGAAATATCATGAGCCACTTTCTAATATAAGTGGCTCATGATATTTTTTCCTCAGAGGGGAAAAAAAATCCATAGTGTAGGCCAACAAAGGAAAGAAATGTCATATTTAGCGCCCTGGTCACCTCCTGGTATTAAGCCCAACTTACAGAAGATCTCAAGAGGTCACGCTCATGTTCCTTCTGCAGAAACCCAAGCACAAACCATACAGTAGGTTAAGTTCGTGTAACAAAAGCAACCCCTCAGTGTCTCCCCCAGATGCTGCTCACAGAACAGTGCAGATTTTACAGGAAGCCTGTTATCCTGAGGAATCTGTCACAGCCCAGTGGCAGATGCTGGTGCTTCAGGATTTGGTGCCCGGGATAAGCCACCTACCTTGCTCCTCCGCCACCAAGCACCAGTGCAATGGCATTCCCGGTCAGAACACGAGCCAGGCGGGAGAAGTCAGAGTGACGGTCTGGAGGTTTCTGGCATATGCGTTCATACATCTCTATCTGCAGGAGAGAGGCAGAGGATGGTCACCCCAAAGGCAGAGCAGAGCCTACACTACCAGCCAACAATGTACTGTTAAGAACTGGAGAGCTGCTGCTCAGGCGAAAGAGGGTTCATGAACGATCCAAACAGTTCTAGTGACCACACGCACCTCCTGCTTTCACAGTAGCTGGGAGGATTTCAACCTAGTACAGTATTTTCCTTGGAGCTGTTTTTCTTTCTTGACAAGGATTTGAAGTTACTGGAAAGCAACCCAAGTCTGCCCCTGCTTTACCTTTAGCATGGCTTTTGCAAGCACAGGGATCCTCCTGATGAAAAGGGCTCTACCACAGGTGCACACCTATCAATATGACCTTGAGGTAGTATTTACTGTCTTCAGCCTACCAAAAAGGCAAGTATTCATCCATAAAGAAGACATAAGCCCCTTATCCCTATGTTTCCCATAGTAAATTGAGTCCAAACAGGCTAAAAGAGAACACTCCCTGTCTAGCAGTCAGTTGCACATCAGACTATCACACAGTGGCATTATCTCAACTTCAGTTTGATACACAAGAGTACGTGTACTACAGCTGAGGGACCAGCCACTGAGGCAAGAATCTCTTACCAGCTTGGTCAGGCTTCTTTTAGAGAAGACTCTGCGTGGACAGTGGAGATGAAGATGACCAGAACACCAGCTCCGCATGTTGAGCCATTCCACAGTTCGGGAAGGCAGAGGCCCATCCTCCTTATGGAGCAGGATCAGTTGCTTCTGGGCTCGGACCGCAGTGTTCTCCAGCATCCTCTCCAGCTACAGCAGGTTATAACACCAAAGGAATGGGGCTATCAGGTATGTGCTGCTCCACCATCAGTTTAACAGAATACTGCACCGTGAAATACGTATCTATCTATATATGCACACACACACAGACATCTGACCACTAATCCTATCTGAATATGCAGACAAACCTGAATGCTTAAAAGGGAATGCTTTTTACCCAAACCACAGACTATTAAATGCACAGCACAGATACGCGCTCTCCGTGCAAAATGAGACTGCTTCCCAAGTCATACCCTAGCCTCCAAATGTTCAGCATGTTTTGTTCTTTCACTTATAATCAGACCCCTTTTTCCTCTTGCATTCCTTATTTTACTTGGTTTAGACAACTGATGGCAACTTGCTTGTTCTGTGCTTTCTGCCTCCCACGAGCAGCCAGGAAGAACCAACAGAGTGACACACAAGAACACTGCTGGTGGTACCAGTCCCAGGCTCTTTGGAGGTCAGACTCAGCACTTCACAACCCTAAAAAACCCACTTGTGACCTCCTTTTTATATGTGCTGTAGAATTTATGTGCTGCTCAAACAACTTTGGTAATAAAATATCAAAAATAGACAGTAAAGGGGGGGGAGGGGGAAACAGCTTCCAACCTGTAACAAAATATATTAAATTATTCACATAATACAATTTCTATCTGATTTTTCCTAGGCACACACCATCAATTCCACCCAGGCAGAAAATAATTTCTCTCTCTCTGTGGAGATCCTGCAAAAAAAAATTCTGGACAAAAATGCAAAGCTTCAAAGCAATTTGACTTCAGATTTACCATTGGCAAAAATGACTCTTCGGAGGCAAAGAGCTTAGCTGGAAGTACTTGTACATAAAACTTGCTATTTCAGTTCAATTCTTTTTATATTTATAATACACGTTTCTCAGGAACATTTCATTATTTATGCTTCACTGGGTAGTAAACCCAGCAAAACTTCTGAGTGTGAAACAACTTGCAGTCCTGATCCAGCTCTGGGGCAACATCACCAGAGGGACGTGGAGCTGCTGGAGCGAGGCCAGAGGAGGCCCCGGAGCTGCTGCGAGGGCTGGAGCAGCTCTGCTCTGGAGCCAGGCTGAGAGAGCTGGGCTGGGGCAGCTGGAGAAGAGAAGGCTCCTGAAGGGGACACCTTAGAGCAGCTCCAGTGCCTAAAGGGGCTCCAGGAAACCTGGAGGGGCTTTGGACAAGGGCCTGTAGGGACAGGACAAGGGGAATGGCTTCAACCTGCCAGAGGGGAGATTGAGATGAGCTCTGAGGCAGAAGCTCTTCCCTGTGAGGGTGCTGAGGCGCTGGCACAGGGTGCCCAGAGAAGCTGTGGCTGCCCCATCCCTGGCAGTGTTCAAGGCCAGGTTGGACACAGGGACTTGGAGCAACCTGCTCTAGTGGAAGGTGTCCCTGCCCGTGGCAGGGGTTGGAGCTGGATGAGCTTCAAGGTCCCTTCCAACACAAACCAGTCTGGGATTCTATGATCTGTGGAACACTGCAGGTATGGGAAGGAGCTGGTTCCACACCTCTCCAACAGTCGGCTCCTGGTCTCCCAGCCCCACAATCAGGATGCAGTCAGCCTGCCGGATGCAGCGCTGGGTCCAGGGTGTGAGGGTGCTGTCTGCCTGGTAGAGCACAATGCGGTGGATGTCCTCCTGCTGTCCCAGCCAGCTGGTTAGTCTGTATTCATGGATACTGGGGACAGAAGAGAGAGAAAAGAAAAAGCAAATTTCAGATGGTTTTACATCACAGCTCCTAACAGAGCAGGGAGAAATCTTACGTGTCAAACACAAACTCTCAAGGGCATCAGAGAACTGCATCTTTTGCTCATCCAGTCTAAGAACCTTATCTGCTCACATTTCCAGGCTCTTCCTTTCTTTATTTCTCCATTATTTATACATTAGATATATATAAACAGAGGAAAGAGGCTGCAGTGATGACTAACTTCAACAAGACTTCCATGGCACCTCTAAGACTGAGAACACAATACCCACCTTGAGCAAGCCAGCTTTTCCCATCTCACAAGTGAGAAAGTAGTTATGGGAAAAAAACACCTGCATTTGAACCAAACCCTCTTGAAACACTGTTGTCTCAAACCCCCTTGATAAGAAAGCATAACCTATGTTGGAACATTTTATTCCCAAATACTGTCTATACTTCCCATCCCTGGCAGTGTTCAAGGCCAGGTTGGACACAGGGGCTTGGAGAAACCTGCTCTAGTGGAAGGTGTCCCTGGATGAGCTGGAAGGTTGGAACTGGATGAGCTTTAAGCTTTACAACCCAAACCATTCTTCTTCTATGATTTGTTCATCAGTAGCAATGAGGCCAGTACCTGTCCAGCGCAGCAGCACCAAGTCGCTGTTTGATGTTATCACTGGTGAGCAGCAAAGCAGGACCTGGAAGAATAAGAAGTTTCTGGTGTGAACTCCTGCCCTGGAGCTCCTGACAAACCACCCTCAGGAAATGCAGCTCTAACAAGTGCAGTTCTGTGAGCTTGCCTGGAGGATCATGATGGATTGGTGCAATGAGCAGAGGAGAATGAGCCAGCACGAACTCTTCTCAAAACTCTGCACATTTATCTATAGTAACATCTTCCCATTCTCCATATTCCCAGAGCTCTGTAACTGCATTAGTCACAAACAAGCTCTGTTCTATCACATTCCTGGAGTCACGCAGGATGAGAGTTTCTACTGCAGCTGCATTTTCACCAGCACAACATTCAGAACATCACAGACCTTTTGCAACCCCAGAAAGCCCAGGAATCTGGTTTCAAACAGAAAAGCTACTTCACTGACATACTGAAATACACCATTTGTTCATCCTGCACTGAACCAGCTCCCCAGGTGACTCCAAAAGCTCTCTAGAGTAGTGCTACCTAATCAATAGGCCGAAAGGAGCCTGTGCCACCACCAACCCCATGGAGAGAGACACACAAATCTGTGGGGCCCAGCCCAATTCACACAACTTCCATTCCAGAGACAGGCACAGGGACATGCCTGGCAAGCACATTACAGGCACATCAAGTTTCCTGCAGGCGCTTTAGGTGATTTTCCTTAATAGCAAACCTGTTTCAGCAGCAGCACCACGTGCCATATGTGGTGGAGGCTGCAGAGTAACTGCAGCTGAAGAAAAAAAGCAAAGGAAAGAAAACTGAAGGGATTTATGTCACACCTAAAGAAAACATTATCTGTCTCATACTGAGAGAGAAATTCACATTTACAAAGCAGGAAGGAGCAGTCACTTCGTATTCATGTTTTCATTGTGCAATCCTTCAGTTTTTCATTAAAAAAGAACTGAGATTTATGTTCCAAATAACAGAACACTTCATTATGTGAGGTCTCTCAAGACACTAATGAAACAGCACGTTCAATGTGTTTGGCAAAAATCAAGGAACCATGAAGGAACAACATGGTGAGGTTGCAATTTCACACTTCTCTGCTGCATAAGGAAAAGCTGCAAGTCCAGCCCCTGGAGCTGAGCACCACAACCTCCAGGCCAGCTCACGATGCTACGATCCTCCTGCAAAGACTTTGCTCTGCTTTAACACGCTTCAGGGTTAGACTTGAAAACACTCAGCAGTATGATTTATCATCTGGTACTTTCCAATATCCAAATAATGTTTGTTCTTTGTGACACTGATGAGGAAGGAAGAGCAAATAAATAGGTACAAAAATATCTGTAAAGTAGAGACCAAGAGATACCAAGTAAAAGCTGGTAAGAAAGCACAGAGAGGAGGATGACCTGAGAGAGGAACTGAACTTCCTCATCCTCCAGTGAAGTTTTTGGGAGTTGGTTCCTATGAAAGCACCAAGTTCCAAGCAGACACAATTAGTTCATACACCCTTCAAGAGCAGAACTGGTTTAACCTGCCCTTCACTCCTGCAACTGTACTGCTCCTCCCTGGTACTCACTGAACCATCCTTCTGCAGGGAGCCTCACCTTCTTCAAGGCCACGTTGGACACAGGGGCTTGGAGCAACCTGCTCTAGTGGAAGGTGTCCCTGCCCGTGGCAGGGGTTGGAACTGGATGAGCTTTAAGGTCTCTTCCAACCCAAACCAGGCTGTGATTCTATGAGGCCCAACTCTCGTGGGGCTTTTACCACCTCATTTTTAACATGGGTAGATTCTTTGATCTGATTCACCATTCAGCCTCACAGCAGTTGGTCTAGCACAATTTTAGATAGCGTAACAGGTTTGAAAGAGGTCTTCCCACAAGAAATACTGATGACATTGCATGTGATGAAGACAGCAAGGGAGAGGGGGCAGGTCAGTTCTGAAAAAGCAGAGTTACCATTTGCGTTCATTAATGTGCCAAAGTTCTCAGCAAAGCACAAGTGTTATATAGACCAAATGTTCTTCCAGGATAAGTGACTTACAAAGCCTTTAACAGTGGTGGAAGTTCAGCAGCAAAGATGAACAGCAGAAAAGGAATGCAAAATGAACCAAGGAATGCAATAAAAACATCAAGAGAGACAAACAGCAAGGAGGGAGCAGTGTGCTGCAACTCTGCGGTTGCTTGCTGCTGCCCTGCACCCAGTCACTGAGATCCAAGAACATGAGGAGGAGCTGGGAGGGCACCACGCTGCTCTGACGCATGGGGCCATGCCCTACAGGGGAACCATCAACCCAGAGACCCTGCCAGCCACAACACCTTCTGTACGGGCAGGCTTGTAGAGCCAAGGTGCATCTCTGTTAGTCAAGGTGATGGCTACGTCACATACAGATGCCCTGAATGGGGACAACACATCCCATCAATCATCACAAGAGGATTGGAGGAGTGTATTACAGAATTCCAGACTGGTTTGTGTTGGAAGGGACCCCAAAGCTCCTCCAGCTCCAACCCCTGCCACGGGCAGGGACACCTTCCACTAGAGCAGGTTGCTCCAAGCCCCTGTGTCCAACCTGGCCTTGAACACTGCCAGGGATGGGGCAGCCACAGCTTCTCTGGGCACCCTGTGCCAGCGCCTCAGCACCCTCCCAGGGAAGAGCTTCTGCCTCAGAGCTCATCTCAGTCTCCCCTCTGGCAGGTTGAAGCCATTCCCCTTGTCCTGTCCCTACAGGCCCTTGTCCAAAGCCCCTCTCCAGGTTTCTTGTAGCCCCTTTAGGCACTGGAGCTGCTCTAAGGTCTAAGCCTGCAAGGCATCCCCCCACACACTGACACATGGGACAGAGGGACCCAGACCCTTGTTCATCCCCAATATAGACCACACTGATGCCTCCAAATGAACCACTCTGGTTTGTTTCAGAAATAACAACCATCTGCTCTCCACTTCCAATTTCCAGCAAGCTCCCAATTAATCAACCATTAAATAACCCTCCATTAATGTGATCAAGAACACCAACATATGTGTTCTCATAGACCAGAATGACCAAAAGTGTTATTTAAACTAAACTGCTGAGAGCAACGAAGTAATAAATAACTCTCCTTCTCAAGTACATACTCCTTGAGCAGCCACACCAGCAGGCAGAAGCACCCAAAAGAATGTGTTAGTGCCTCCTCAACGTGCATTATCATAGTTACAGATCATCATCTAGTGATGTTCTTTCCACTTCTGCCATCAGCCTCACAGGCCATTTACAGCTGCTGCTGGCATCATGAAAACGTCTTCATGAAAGGCCAGGTTGGACACAGGGGCTTGGAGCAACCTGCTCTAGTGGAAGGTGTCCCTGCTTGTGGCAGGGGTTGGAACTGGATGAGCTTTAAGGTCCCTTCCAACACAAACTAGTCTGGGATTCTAGATCCCTCCCTCCTCCAGCAGCCACCTGCACCCTTCAGGGACTGTTCTTTTTCCTTAGACACAGGGCAAAGAGCTCAAAGTTAAGAACATAGCAGAGGTGATATGAGGTAACATTAAATAGTGTGTCTCTGACTACACCCAGCAGCAGACTGCTGGGGAAGAGTATTAGAGCTAGGTGAACCTAATGACATTCTCCCAGCTGCCAGCAATTTGCAGTTCCTGAAACTCTCAAGCCAGAGGTGGTGACTTTTAACAGCCCCTGAGGGACTTTTTCATGCTGTGACCTTCCTGGTATTCTGAATTCTGGGTCTTGATGTGCTTCAGGTGAGAAAACCACACAGCAGCAGTCTTATCCCCAGGCACAGAGGATCATGATTCATGGGGAAACCTCATGGAGCATCTAAATTAGTACTCCAGAATCATCTGTTCTTCAGTACAGAACTACAATTCCATGACGGAGAGGTGAGGAGAACAAAACGCTGGCACATGCCTGAGGACTAGGTAATTTTATCTTTTAAGAGTACAAGGCACTCAAGGAGAGGGCCGAGAACACCCTTCAGCAGGGCTCAAGGCACAAACCATACCCCAGCAAGGAGACACAAGCATCACACAGGAGACACAAAACCCTTCCTTTCTTTCCAAAGATGATCATGGTGCTCACTTTGGTAACTGTTCTCCACATGACATCAATTTCCTAAGATATGCAGGAGTGGGAATGCAGATACCCTAGTTCTAAGTCTCATAAAACATGGTCAAAAGTTGCCTAGATAAATCACAGGCCTAGAGGTCAAGGTGTGATCTCTGATGCTTAGAAATGATTGCGAATCATAGAATGGTTTGGGTGAAGGGACCTTAAAGCTCAACCAGCTCTAACCCCCTGCCATGAGCAGGGACACCTTCCACTAGAGCAGGTTGCTCATGAAATCCACCTCACCTGGAAAAAATACTGGCACAAGAAGATACATCCAGTCCAAAATGCACTGAGGGAAGATTTTAGCACAGCAACTTCCTTGCCTGGACTACATCAAAAGAGAATTTACATTTGGCCTAATAAAAGTCTATAAAACTATGTGTCAGAGACAGAACTGATAAATGAGTTTGATTTCCCAGCATGAAATACCAAGTCATGCCAGGGTCGAGGCACCACATTAAACACTTAACACTTAAATCTCTGTGTGAAGAAGGGAAAACCATGCAGAACTACAATTAAAAACTCCACTAAATTATTAGCAAAGATATTTCAGTGAGCTTTCCAATTCACTTCACATTTTTAGAAATGGAAAGAAAGCTTATATTTAAAGGGCAGAAGGGAAGGAGAGAGACACATATGTTGGATTTGAACTCCTCCCCACATTGGTTTGAAATCATATACGATTAGAGGGCTCCTACATAGAACCAGAATTCAAAGCCATGTGGTATGTCTGAGCTGGCCCCAGAAAAAGAACAAAAAATAGTTAGGTAAATACTTCTTAAAAATCTGAATACTGCAGAAGAGCTTTCTAATCAAAGCTGCTCTCAGCTCCACCAGGATTAATAGGAAAAATAATAATCATAGAATCCCAGCCTGGTTTGGGTTGGAATGGGCCTTAAAGCTAATCCAGTTCCACCCCCCTGCCACGGGCAGGGACACCTACCACTAGAGCAGGTTGCTCCAAGCCCCGTCCTGGCCTTGAACACTGCCAGGGATGAGGCAGCCACAGCTTCTCTGGGCAGGGATAGGAGAAAACACAAGAGGAGAAAAGGAGGAAATAGAAACGGTTAAAAAGCAAGCAGTGCTTGCTGCTGCTGAGAAAGAAAGAACTAACATACAGAAAGCCCCTTGCAGTGAAGCACTGGCAGGAGGTTCACCAGTGTCCCACAGCACTGCTGATGGGCTGTCCCGATGAACAGAGGCTATGAAGGCTGGAGGGCTTGCTCTGCCAGCTGTGCTGGGAGCCACACGGCTAGCTCTGTTTTCACACAACACTTTCCTCTTCCCACTGCTCCATTTTGGCAAGAATTTCAGATGCCAAGGTTGTGCAGCACCATCTGTAGCTGCCAAGCACCACAGACATCAGTTTAGGAATAGAACAAGAGAAAAGAAGGGTGACCGAGGTGAAGTGATCATCACAAACCCCCTCATCCCAGTCGCTTTCAACTGGAGTGGTTATTTTTATTCCTAAATAGTCCATCTACCTACTTAAATGTCTGTTGGTTTTATTTACAAGCTCCGAGTGCTGTCACACATCAAAACAAGCTGGCACCAATCCATAAGAAGTACCCATTAGCAGCATAGCTACAGCTGGGAGCTATGCTCCATTAGGGATGGAGCATCTCAAAGTAAGAGGAATCTTCAACCGCCCACAAATCAGTTCTCACTGTGACTCCACCATAAGCTGCACACAAATTCACATTTCAAAGGTTAAAGGGATCAAGCAACAACAGCTTTTTCCTGTGCCCGCTCACCTAATAGATTTTCTTATAGCAAAATAGTAAGTGCCAGCTGCGGATACCCTTGAGGTCAAAAAGGCAATAACCAATAAATGTAAGTGGCTGTACCTCAAGCATTGTGTAACCTGTACTTTTCAAAATCAAAAGCCATGAGACAGCAGGCTAACAATTCATCAGAGGATTACGGGAGATCTACTCAAGAGATGTGTGATAGTGTCTGAGAATGAGACGAGGATGTTCAGGAAATGTCAAACTGTAGTACTGAACATGAACTGAATTGTGAATTAAATACAGGCGTTTGTGAGCAAGTGGAACTTGCAGACACAACTGCACCAATGGGTAAAGCAATTAATGACTCAGCTGTGAGCTGAATAAATGGGTTTGTGAACACAGGAGAGACAAACAAGCTGGCAACAAATTGGACAATGATCCAAGACGAAAGTTGGGACTTCCAGTGCCAACCTGGACCTCCTCCACAAGCCTCTTCCATTAAGTCTTATGCTTACCACTAACTGCACTTCCTCAAGAGAAGAAAACTGCATATGAGATCCTTTGGTGGATGAAGCCGTACAACTGAGTGTCCTGGGTTCAGCTACAGCAGTCATTTTTTCTCCTTCTTAGTAGCTGGTGCAGTGCTGTGTTTTTGACTTTCAGTCTGGGAACAACGCTGATAACACCGATGTTTTTAGTTGTTGCTCAGTAATGTTTACTCTGACCAAGGACTTTCGCAGTCTCATGCTTTGCCAGAGAGGAGGGGAAGCCAGGAGGAAGCAGAGGCAGGACACCTGACCCAAACTGGCCAAAGGGGTATTCCATACCACAGCACGTCATGCCCAGTATATAAACTGGGGGGAGTTACCCGGAAGGCCCAGATCGCTGCTCGGGTCGGGCTGGGTATCGGTCGGCGGGTGGTGAGCGGTTGTGTCCTTTTCCCTTGTTATTCCTCTTATCATTATTATTGGTAGCAGTAGTGGTTTGTATTATACCTTAGTTACTGGAGAGCTGTTATCTCAACTCGTGGGAGTTACATTCCTTCGATTCTCCTCCCCATCCCTCCGGGAGCGGGGGGAGGAAGGAAAAGGGGGGGAGTGAGCGCGCGGCTGCGTGGTTCCAAGTTGCCGGCTGGGTTTGAACCACGACACTGAGGAAGCCTGAAAAGTTCCCAGAGATGAGATGGCGAGAACTGGGCTCTCAGAGAGGCCTCATGGGCACAGTGCACTGGTGGGGGATTTGCCCACTGAAGCCAAGGTGAGAGGCCAGACAGAGCAGTTCCTATTTCTGAGTCATTAAGGTCACAAAGTTTCTCACTGAAATAAAATGCATGTTAGGGATGGGAACAGTGAAGCAAGAGGTCATGAAAAGGCTCATCTTGACTGCTGCTGTATCCCTACCCCCAAGCAGCATGAATCCACCTCTGACTGATGCCAGGTACCTGGCCATACCTCTCTACAAAGACAAGCAGCATTCCTTCCCCTTGATGCAGTAACACGTAAACACCTCTTACCCACGGCGCTGAGAGCGTGCTTGAGCTCCAGAGTAAAAGCTGTCAGCGGCACGTCTTCAGACACTGGCATGATTGCCACTGTGGAGAGATTGCTGGCAGGATTCCCAGCATCCCACTTGCTGCCCGAGCTGTGATATCCAAGGGGATGACCTGTTTGGAAAGAAAAGACTTGCCATCAGCCAGCCCAGAGAGCTGTGTGTCACTTCAGTGTCACTTCATGGTTTTCAACTGCCAGGCAGCAAGGGAAGTGCCAGAGAATTGCTTAACCCAAGGGAAATGTGACATCTTCCAGAGCACATAAAAGAGTTCCCACAGATTTCCTACTTAAGAGCATGAAGATCAAATTGTGTCATTTTTGGCTGCTGCCATAGAAGTTAGACAACGATAAAATTACTTTTTAAACATGATGTGCATTTACCTGACATGTTAAGAGAAAGATAAAAAGGCACTTTTGATAGGCACTTTGTACAAGGGCAGGTAGAGACAGGACATGGGAGAATGGCTTTAACCTGCCAGAGGGGAGACTGAGATGAGCTCTGAGGCAGAAGCTCTTCCCTGGGAGGGTGCTGAGGCGCTGGCACAGGGTGCCCAGAGAAGCTGTGGCAACCTCTGAAGTATCACAGACTGGTTTGAGTTGGAAAGGACCTTAAAGCTCATCCAGTTCCAACCCCTGCCACAAGCAGGGACACCTTCCACTAGAGCAGGTTGCTCCAAGCCCCTGTGTCCAACCTGGCCTTCAACACTGCCAGGGATAGGGCAGCCACAGCTTCTCTGGGCACCCTGTGCCAGCACCTCAGCACCCTCACAGGGAAGAGCTTCTGCCTTACATCTAACCTGAACTTCCTCTGTTTCAGTTTCAAACCATCACACCTTGAACATTTCCTCCTACTCACTTCTATCAGTAAATACACTTTGTTTTGCCTGTGCCACATACAAAAAGTTTAAGAACCAACCCATAGGAGCATTTCCTCTCAATTAATACAGTAACATAATGCAAAGACAGACAGATTAAGTCAGTCTCCAGGAGCTGCCACTCAGACTGCCTGATTCAAGTCTATTACAGCTGCTACTTCCAGTGCTCCCTTGGAGCTCTTCTCACAAGAAACTCAAGGAAATTTCAGTACACACAAGCAGCACTCTTTTCTATCTCAATTGCAAATCATTCCATTCCCACACTGAATTACCTATGCTCTGCCAAAAGAAATTGTGCACATATATATAACAAAATCACCATTCATTTGTGACAACAGCTAAAATATTTAGTGACAAATTCTCTTTTCAAGGATGTGCTTTTCTGGATCCAGATTTAAGGATGTAAATCCAGCTCTTGGGAAGCATCAGCATCAATGGAGTAGTCCAGGAATGAGTCTTACCTCCCTGCTGAAGACTGCCAAGAATCTTCTCGCCCAGCAAGTGAATAAGTCTAGTCACAACCTAGCAATGGGAGAGAAAGAGATAGAAGAGAAACAAACATTCAGGCAGAATGTACTAAAAATAGTGCATCTAATCATTTCAACCTCTTGTAAGACATCATATCAAGTTGGACTCTACAGAGATAAGGTTTATAAGCATGGCTTCTTTCCTGGCTGGAACATATGGTGACTGATCATTTGTTTGGATTTCTTTTACCTTATTGTAGTCTAATCTGGAAGAACAAGAAAACAAAGTGAATCCCAAACAGGCAGTATTTAACTTGCTTTGGGAACAAAAGAAAAATGTAGAATCCCAGACTGGTTTGTGTTGGAAGGGACCTTAAAGCTCATCCAGTTCCGACCCCTGCCGCGGGCAGGGACACCTTCCACTAGAGCAGGTTGCTCCAAGCCCCTGTGTCCAACCTGGCCTTGAACACTGCCAGGGATGGGGCAGCCACAGCTTCTCTGGGCACCCTGTGCCAGTGCCTCAGCACCCTCCCAGGGAAGAGCTTCTGCCTCAGAGCTCATCTCAATCTCCCCTCTGGCAGGTTAAAGCCATTGCCCTTGCCCTGTCCCTATATCCCTTGTCCAAAGCCCCTCTCCAGGTTTCCTGGAGCCTCTTTAGGCACTGGAGCTGCTCTAAGGTGTCCCCTTCAGGAGCCTTCTCTTCTCCAGCTGCCCCAGCCCAGCTTTCTCAGCCTGGCTCCAGAGCAGAGCTGCTCCAGCCCTCGCAGCAGCTCCGGGGCCTCCTCTGGCCTCGCTCCAGCAGCTCCACGTCCCTCTGGTGCTGTTGCCCCAGAGCTGGATCAGGGCTGCAGGGGGGGTCTCCCCAGAGCGCAGCAGAGGGGCAGAATCCAACTATTTTGGCAAACACATGAAGCTGCATTTCCACTTCTCCTCATTTCTCCCTGCAGGGCACTGGCACCTCTGGGTTACTCTCACTCCTGAGTGGCCGTTGCCACTTCCACTGTCTGTAGGTACTAATGGCTCAAAATGCTTCGAGGCAGCACTCGAGATGTCCCACACAATCCTGCTTCCAACTGATCCCCAGAGAATTACTCCATATTTACAGTAACCAATTTCAGACATCTTGATTAAAAGGGATAAGGACTCACTCTAAACACCTGCAGCAGAACAATCTATCTAACAAACTGCTCTCCCCTCAAATCACGTTTCTCTGGGACCTTTGAAGGGACAGATTTTACCCCAGCTTTTTTCCTAACAGGACTCACATGGATATAAACCAATACTCAACTGGCCGAGCACAGCCGAGAGCTGACCAGCTCATCTCCAACAGGAGCAATCAATAATCCCAACAAGTGCTGTAGCCAAAGACTAATAATTGCAATGCCAAGGAGTGACAGACATGTGGAATGTGTCATTCATTCTGCAAAGCTCCGTGCAAGAGTTTTACCAAACAAGGAAAAGAGCTATTTAAATGCATTAAGAATTAATAGAACAATCATTAGATACTGTCTCCCAGATAAATAATTTAAGATCAAAATAACTCTAATCTTCAGGAGGACATAAAATACCCCCAAAACCAACACAAGAGATGTTCCCCAGACTCTTCACAAGCTCGATAAGAAGCAGCAAACAGCTACCTTGGACTTTGGACAAAGACTGTACCCACAGGAACAGGCACTTCAGGGTGCATCTTTCAAGTAGAAGGCCATGTAAGCACTAAGCCAGGTCAGCATGTCCATCAGAATCATTTCTATAGCCTGCTTTGAAAATGAAATTAAATAAATGGCCCCAAACTTACTAAAGCATTCATCGCTTAAATAAGCACCAAGATTTATTAAGCATCTATAGGAGGGAGGGAGAAGAGCAAACAGGCAGCTTCCAACACAGGGTGACTTCAAACAGAGCAGGGAGTAAGAGCTAAACAAAGTTATTCCAGTAACCTCTGTCTCACAGCCATAAATGCATGGTCCTGAAGATGCCACATCAACCATAGAATCACAGAATGGTTTGGGTTGGAAAGGACCTTAAGAGCATCCAGTTCCAACTCCCTGCCATGGGCAGCGATCCATCTCCTCAGTGGTCCAAGATCAACTTCTTTAAGGTTCCTCTTATTTGCCCCAGTGGCACACACACATTGTCCATACCCACTGCACCGAGAGCAGCAACGCTCTCCCACCTCCTTCCTTATCCTGGAATCTCAGGCAGGATCTAAAACACTGTCCAAAACATAACAAGAGTTGATGATCACCCAGCAGACTTGTTACCGCTTTATCACCACCAAGAGCTGCAGTTCTGGCATTCAGTAAACAGCACTGGGTGTAGCTATGGAAAACTGACCCAACTACAGGGAGCAGGGAGGGAAAGGGGGAATTTTTAATAAAAATTAAGAGACTGATTTTCCTTCCTAAGGGAGACAACCTGCCCCCTGCGAGCATTCCTAAGAACCCAGCTCACGTGTGTTCACCCAACAACCCATCTCTGCACAGCAGCACTTTCCATCAGCAGTTTTGGAAGGTGTGATGAACATCTTACATTTCTGAACCATTTTAAACATCAGAATTTTAATTACTTACTAAAACCATCTCCTGTATTTAGCACTGCTTCTGCTTTACAGACAGCTCAGGAGAGCTCCGGCTGCGCTAAAGAAAATGTCCAAGGTCAATGACTGAACTAAGAATAAAACCTATTGGTCTCATTTTCCAGCTGGCTGCTCCTATTGCCGGGAAATATTCCTTGCCTGTTTGCTGGAGCAGCCCTTGCAGCCCTGCTACGTAAGATATGGAGCAATTATTTCCCTGGTGACTTTGTAAGACAAGCAAGCCACCAACCACAACGGGATGAGTCACTGCCGCAGTCATGGCAACGCCGAGAACAGCGCCTGGGACCAGAGCTAACCACTGAACCGAAATTTCCTCCCGGTTCTGTGTTCATACACTAGATCCCTTCCACTGGAAGGCCAGGTTTCCCTTGGAAAGAGGCTTGTCCATCCGTCCAAGGGAGAAATCTATATAGAATCACAGAATCCCAGCCTGGTTTGGGTTGAAGGGAGCTTGAAGCCTATCCAGTCCCTGCCCCTGCCATGGGCAGGGACACCTTCCACTAGAGCAGGTTGCTCCAAGCCCCTGTGTCCAACCTGGCCTTCAACACTGCCAGGGATAGGGCAGCCACAGCTTCTCTGGGCACCCTGTGCCAGCACCTCAGCACCCTCACAGGAAAGAGCTTCTGCCTCAGAGCTCATCTCAATCTCTGGCAGGTTAAGGCCATTCCCCCTATAAATCACATCTCCACTGATAACAGGCCTAACCTCCAATGACTGACCTTCGCCCACCACTGCAGGGCAGCCAGAGCAACTGTTACCAAATTCAGTACAACTGGGGAGAATTTGAAACCAAGACACAAGAAATATGATTCATCAGGTTTCCAAGCACTGTTATTCCTGCAGGAACAGGGCACAAGGAGGAGCAGCACAGCTCAACGCAGCCCAAGACTATGACAAGGATCTGGGAGAGGATCTGGGGTGGCACAGAGGGGGCTGGTGAGGAGGAGGAGGAAGCAGAAATTAGTCCTTTGGCTAGGATGTCATGGACAAGGACTGAAGGGTTATTCCCTGTGTGCCTGGAGGAGATGGAGGCAGGAGGAAGGCAGGTAGCAGGGTGGGTACCTCAGCACAGACATCTGGGCAGTGATTCAGCAGTCACTGATTGCCACCCTCCCTCTTTAGCTGTGTTTTGTAGGAACAGCTCTGGAAATCGGCAGTGAGGGTTTAGGCAGAACGGGAAGGCAGGAACTCTGGCGGTGCTGCTGGGAAAACTGGACTGACCTGGAAGAAACCTGAGCTTTCAATCCTCCAGAAGTGCAGCATGCTGTACAGCCCCGGCATTCTGAGCCAGTGCAGGATGGGCACTGCTCTTCCCAAAGCAGGCCAGGCTTCCTCCCTCTCTCCATGCAAACACCAGCCTTTCCCAAGCATGGTGCCAGAAATCACAGAGCACTCCCCAGACATCTGAATTATCTCATTTCCATGGCATCACCATCACCCAGGGCTAGACAGCCTTCACAGCACCGGCAGAAGTATCTGGAGTGCTCATCCCTATGGCACATCTGGGTTTTAGAGTCTCTCCTAGCACCCACCCACCCAGCCCTGCAAACACACCTCCTGCTCTCCACAGACACCAGAGCCTCAGGAACCTCAGGAGCTGAGGTTTAGGGTTTGAAGACAAATCTGCCCTGATTTTTCAGACAGTGAGTTGGAGCCTGGACTTCTCACACAACACCAGGAGGCTTCTCAATCAGGTGAGAACCATTAATTGCCTACAAAGTAAATGCAACTTTCTGAGCTCTGTACTAAGGATAGAGCCAAACTTGTCTGACGTGATGAGAAAGCTGAATTAATCATTCCTTATTATCAGAAACCACCATAGCAAAGAGCGAGTCCTGCTCAGTTCATCACAGTTAATCACTGCAACCAGTACCGAGGAGCAGGGACATCGATTGGGCACTCCTGGGGTAAGGCCAAGTGTGAACAGAGCTGCACCACTGCGACTTCACACTGCAGGTTAAACCTGCCCTTGTGACAAAGAGGGCACTTTCTTACCCGCTGTTACCTTCTCAAGCTGTGAAGTGACTCAGAAAGGTCATCAGGCTTTGCCACCAACCTCAATATCCATCCACCTGAGTCCGGACTCAGGAGCCTGATTCTTAAAAATGACTGAATCAAGTTTCCAAAAATTCCCCAAAGCAAATAAAACCCCCTTCTCCTGAGATCATGCAAAAGACTTTTCACGCCAGAAGGAAGAAATCTGACCTTAGAGGTCTAAAAACCTGAGTCTGTCTCAAAAACGACTCAGGATTCCAGGTGCACCACTGCTGCTCTCCAGCAGTCCCAAAGCCTGCAATGTTCTGCAGACACCACTGCAATCGTAACTTCATAATGCCTGGCCCAGAGCAGGCCATTCAGTTGAGACACATTCTCATAGAATCCCAGACTGGTTGGAGTTGGAAAGGACATTAAAGCTCCTCCAGTTCCAACCCCCTGCCATGGGCAGGGACACCTTC